GATGCTGGGTTGCATCAACAAGGGCACCAACACCGGAGATAAAGAAGGCATTATCCCTCTCTACTCAGCACTTGTCAGGCCACACCTGGAATATTGTGTTCAGTTTTGGTCTGCAAAGGTGTGGACAGGCTGGAGAGGGTCTAGAGAAGGGCCACCAGGATGACCAAAGGACTAGGAAGCCTGACATATGAGGAAAGGCTGAGAACTGGGTTTGTTCAGCCTTCAGAAAAGAAGGCTTAGGGGAGACCTTATCACCATGTTCCAGTATTTAAAGGGTGGCTGCAAAGAAGATGGAAGATTCCTTTTTACAAGGAGTCACATGGAAAAGACATGGGGTAATGGGTATAGCTTGCTCCTGCGAGCTGCATACAAGAGAAAAAAATTTCACAATGAGAACAATCAACCACTGGAATAACCTCCCTAGGGAAGTGGTGGATTCCCAAACACTGGACACTGTTAAGATTCATCTGGGCAGGGTGCTGGGCCATCTTGTTTAGACACGAGAACATTTGGAGCAGATGATCTTTGAGGGGCCTTCCCACCTGGCATTGTATGATTCTGTGCTGGACCTATTGGGACTCTGCTCTTCAGTCATTTGAGTGAAAAGTATTCATTCAGTTATTAGGATTTGTAAGTAAATCAGACTTACCTTGTTTGGAGAGAGCAGATAAACTCCATTGTAATTTTGTTTCCGTACTAATATTGTCTGGAACAAAACGATACAGATACAGGCATAAGTGATAGACCATGTCTTAGTTTAGCTTTTAACTTTGAAGAATTTGCTGTGTTGCTGGCACAGTGCCAGTAGTAAAAATAAACAAGAATAAAACAAACTGCCTTGACCAAGTATGACCTGTCAGATTATTAACAGACTCTAAAATCACTGTTACATATATTCATAAGTTTCGGGGTGAAAGCACAATTTACCAATGGCTGCTGATAACATTCTCTACATAATTATAGATCCTGTGAGCTCAGGGAGAATTTTTAGAGCTGCTCAGTGCAGTATAAAGTCAGATTTCTTGTGAGTAAATAAAAGTCAGAGGCCTTACTGCGTTCATCAGTGCACTCAGTTTTCGGGCTCAAGTAACTGCTTGTCACGATCTAAAGTCAAGGCAGGCAGACAATTCTTGCTATTAGAAAATTATTGTTGTTTGTTTCTAGTTATAGTGCAATACTAAAAGGGACTGATTTGGATCAGGTAGTATCAAATTAACACATTGAAGAACAATACTATTTGCACTCAAGCTGTCATTTTGCTATCACATTATTCATTCGCATCTAAATAAGCCTATTAAAACTACGTTTCCAATGTTAAACTGCAGATCATTAAAAAAACCTTTTTCACAGGCTTGTGCACCACAGTTACATATGAAAGCATTCAGCTGGAATATCACTAACCTGTGTCGGTGTCCTGACTTTTATCATCATCATCGTCATTGTCATCATCGTTTTCACTAGCTGCTGAAGCTTGGCTCTCTTGAGAGTATTGTAAACAAGGGTTGTTGAATATTCCCTTCCATATTTTAACGCATCTCGTCTGAAGTGGCTCTGGGCACTTGCACTCCCCCAGCACTGTTTTCCCCAGCTGTCTCCAGGCTGACAAACACTCCTGGTTGACCATCGGGAGCCTGCATTTTGCCACGTCTGCCCAGCATGCTCGCTGGAAGCTCTTGTACACTAAAGAGCAGTAAGGGTCCTCTTGACAGCGTTGTTTTGCAATACTGCAGTCGTTCTCTAATTCTTCTGGGTGCCTTTGGTGTTTGGGGTTTCTGTGTTGCCTCAAACTCAGTTCAGTAGCTGATCGTGAAGACGTTTCCAAATATTCTGTACAAATAGGTACAAACAGGGGTATAAATCAAATGGAAGATGGAGCACCTTCACTGGTCAGCTCTAAACAAATTCAGGAAAAGGATAATTGTCTTAATGCAATAAAATTGATGAAACAGCCCTAGTTTCATTCTGAGCTGTAAGTAAATACATAATAATTTCAGAGTCTTGCAGACTAATGAATCTTCCTCATGCTTACTGTGTCCTGGTAGCTGTAGAATACAGTCTGCTTTAACACTTCAGCTGCTAACAGTAATATGAGAAACCCCCACTAAAATTACTACATAAAGGGATTCATCTCACATAATTTTAACCACCTAAAGATGGGACATACCATGGATTATCACCTTAATTTAATGCATAATGTGTAAAGAGAGAATGGCAATTCCAGAAGATGGTTCATTCATTACCCAAAGTATTAATTTAAGTTAGACAGTGAGAATTAATTCTGAAATTATTTACCAATACCATAAGCAATAATCTGTAGGTAAAACTGATACTAGTGTAACTCCACCCAAACTCACTGGTGAGAAATATGCTGGTAAGAAATCACCAAAAAATATAAAATTATTTCATTTTGCTAGAAGCAAAAGCAATTCTTCCAATGACATCAAGATCAGGTTTTAGATACCCACTCTTCTTGTTTGGGGCAAGGAGTAACAGGTCAGGATGTTATTATTTCCTCTGCAATAAAACCATATATTCTCCTGCTATGTGATATATGCTGATCCATGCCAGCAGGGAGTGATGGATCAGCACCAGGGACCAGCCCTGGGGCTCACTTTCCAGACTGCCATTCACTGGTTGGTTTTCCTTCTCATGTCAGCTTTGCGAGTCATTACTCCAGGAGACACTGGGTCAGAAACTGCACCAAGTAATTCTCAGTTATAGAGATAGTCTTTCTGACAGTTCTTAGAATAATAAAAAATAAATTTAAAGGAGCTGGGCCCATTGATTACAATAGAATTTTTAAATGGGTGCATTTTAAATAGTATGTACAGCTTTATAAAGGTAATAAATGTGCTTCCCGTGCCCAGTAACATCTCCTAGATGTAGTGAAGAAGCTCCTGTAACACAGTGTGACACAACTGCACAGCTATGCATCCCCATTCACTCATGCTCCCATTCACAAGGTGTCTGGATGTGGCTCTCTTGTACATAACATAGACCCGGTGGTGCTCAGGCCTCCTTGGGCAACAAGTGGCCCTCAACACACATTGCATTTTCACTCTTGCTTTCCATTGGATTGAGCCATTTGAATTTCTCACATGTGTTTTATTGCTTTTGTTTATTTAAAAGCAGATATGGCATTGCCTCCATATGCATGTTGGAATGCAAATGTCACAGAAAGTAAAAAACTAATTTTTTTTTGAATGATCAGATTTGAGAAATATGCAAAAGAAACTTGAAACGGGTTAAAATGAGAGTTACAGAATTATATCTTTTTCTTTGCTCTTCATAATTAAAACTTTATGTTTAGTTACCTGTATTAATGCTGCACTGTTTCCCAAGCAAAGTTGTGACGCTACAGAAATCATCTGTAGTGCAGACACAGTTTTTAAATTCTGGGTATTCGTCAGCCAGGATCTGGATGATTCTATTACATCCAATAGCGTCTTCTGCCTTGCATCTATTACCTAGAACTCACCATTAAAATTAGATATGGCATTGCCTCCATATGCTTGTTGGAATGCAAATGTCACAGAAAGTAAAAAAACTAATTTTTTTTTGAATGATCAGATTTGAGAAATATGCAAAAGAAACTTGAAACCAGTTAAAATGAGGGTTACAGAATGATATCTTTTTCTTTGCTCTTCATAATTAAAACTTTATGTTTAGTTACCTGTATTAATGCTGCACTGTTTCCCAAGCAAAGTTGTGACGCTACAGAAATCATCTGTAGTGCAGACACAGTTTTTAAATTCTGGGTATTCGTCAGCCAGGATCTGGATGATTCTATTACATCCAATAGCGTCTTCTGCCTTGCATCTATTACCTAGAACTCACCATTAAAATTATAATGTTGTTAATGGTTATGAATGCTTAAGGGATATGGTTACATAAAACAATTCAATTGAAGCACAAAAAGATATGTTTTGCCCGCAGAAGATGGTTTGAACCTAGTTTTCTTTGAAAACCTGTCATAATTTACAAGTTTTAAACAACATTCAGAGTGATATAATAAAGCTGTGCTAATATTGCCCTCTTTTATCTGATCTGACGCATTGCCAGAATGTCTGCTTCTGTTCTCATTTCCAAAGTATGTAAAACCTTAAACTCATACCTTTTATTCTAGGTAGGTGAGGCACAGACACCAAAGACGAGTTGAGGGAGTCTACATGATCCCTTGTGGGAATGAGGTGCCTGGTACAGGGACAGGAATTCACAGCGCAGGGTGAGGTACTGCCATGTAACGGAGCAAGAGAGGGGAGGTAGGAGGGCAGGCAGAGCCCAGGATGATGGGGATGCTAAGCCCACCCTGAGGGATGTCAACTCTGGTTGAGTGATCCCTCACTCACATGAAGATGGCACAAGCTTATTAACGCCTGGCCATTTGGATACAACCTCAGACTCCTACCCTGTAGAAAAACTTCACTGCCTAAGTTTGGCAATGACATCAAATTTAAAGTAGTCCAAGAATATCCTGATTTTTAATTTTTAAATAATAAAAATAAGGGAGCAGTTAACATAAAAAAAATACAAAAAAATAAGCAGAAGCCTTAGTTTGCCAGTTTCAAGCCCATTGCTTGCGTGTGCACTTGGACTCAATGACAAAGACATTTGCACAGGCTGTCAGGACATATTTTCCGTGTGTCCGCAGTAAAAATAAAGAGGATGTGCTAGTTTGTGGTACTAAGGTAAATCAATCAACCCTCTACTTTATGGACTAAAAGGTTTTAAAGTACTTCATGACTTATCATTGCTTAAGGAAGTTATAAGTTACTTAAGAAATTTACAGAAGCAGCAGTTTAATACCATTTAAGGAAGGTTTATTTTGTGAAAGCCACGCATCTACCTTGTCAAAACAGGTGCGCAGGCTCCCAAAACGGCACATTTCCTCTCTTTGCCTCATAGATATTAAGTGTCTCACGATGTGTAAGATAAGGAGTATGTGGCTCACAACACCCAGGCTGGTCACGGGGCAGCACGAGGCTGGTTTTTTCATCTACTAAGCCCATCTGCTATTGTCTCTGCCCTGTCAACAGCCATGCCTGGCTTCCTGCCCTGCTGCTTCCCTGGCGACTAGCACGGAGCAGCAGAGGCCGTGGGCTGGAGTCAGACTCCAAAGCTAGCAGCCGTGTGTCACCGCCGCTGCCGACAAGCTTTAATGTGATTAAGGGTTTTTGCCTCCGCCGCCGACAAGCTTTAATGTGATTAAGGGTTTTAACGTCATTTGTAGGTTGTTGACACGAGCAGCAGCGGCAGGCAGGCCAGGCGAAAGCCTGCCAGAGGAAACGCTGCCTTTTGCCTCTGCCTGAAGGAATGACTATCAGCTATTCCAGAGGGCACATCCCCCTCCTGCCACCCCAAAATCCTTTTTCAGACAGTAACCTGCCTTGCCCCTTCTCCAGATACTGTTGCTGACTAATGAGGGTTTGGGGATGTATTAAAATATTGCACTGCTACGGGGGGATGTGGCAGCCCAGGAAAAGATATGGCTCCCAGCCTCTCCTCCCACTTCACCTCTTGTATCAGCAAAGGAGGAGGTGATGGTGCCCAGGCTTGCCTGTGTCTCTCCAACCCATCTCCAACTTGCCTTCTGTGTTTTCAGTAGTAGACCATGACCATGACCCTTAGCCCTCACTTTCCATCTGTTTTCCAGTAGCCAAGGGACTCAGGAGACGTTCTGAAAGTCAGAGACATAAAGCACTCCCTGACCATAAAAACAAGGTGGAAAGTAAGTGGTGACACGGGAACTGTGGAGGCCCATGGAGGTTGGTGGGTGGATATTCTACTCTATTTTATCAAGTGAGTAAGGGATAATAAAAGATTTTAGTATGTGGTGACACGGGAACTGTGGAGGCCCATGGAGGTTGGTGGGTGGATATTCTACTCTATTTTATCAAGTGAGTAAGGGATAATAAAAGATTTTTGGGGGACAATTTCAGAAGGACAGATTCCAGGGGTAGAAAAAGAGCAAGTATCAGGAGGGGCTTGTATAAAAATTAGCTGAGTGAGTAAGGGATAATAAAAGATTTTCAGGGGAGAATTTCAGAAGGACAAATTTCAGGGGTAGAAAAAGAGCTAGTATCAGGAGGGGCTTGTATAAAAATTAGCTAATTAAAAAAAATTATGACTGTATTCTTCAAGGTCCTGAGGTCACTTCGACAGTAGATATAGACAGAGGAAAATAAGAAATACAAACCTTGGCATATTTTACGCAGCACCCCAGCCTCACTTAGCTCATCGGTCTTCATGACACTAACAAGTTGTGGTTAGGAGCCAGGTACAGGAGCTCTGTTCAGAGTGGCCCCATGCACAGTGAAAAGGCTGTGCTGAATCACAGCAGCCAACAACCAGGGGGTGAGAGGCAGGTTGTGGGGCTACGGACATACAAAGGGCACAGACAGACTCAGGAAGCACACCAGATTTATGGGGATCCCTTGCCTGGCCTCTTGAAAGTTGTGTAGAAATAACCTATTATCAGTATTGGTCTGTTTGTACACTGTGTTGATTCAGCTGGGATGAACAATAGAAAATATTTTATTGCTGGTTTTCAATTATTGTTGCTTTACCATTGATTAATTCTAGGTAATATATTTTAGCTTATACATATGCTTCTAAGGTATTTACAAAAAAATGCTCTCTGACCTAATGCTTGGTGGCCATTATTCATAATTTGATTTCGTTATATGTACATAATTTATGTGCATGGAACCACAGATAGAAGCATGACAGAGTAGAAGCTGACATTTCCAGGGTGATAATCTCTTTTCTTCCACAGTCACCTCTTCAGTCATCTCAGTGGGAATTGCACCTGAAGACTGCAAAGGAAAGTACTGGGTTTTCCTCCCTAGCACTGGTGAGACCACATCTGGACTGCCATGTCCCGAGCCAGGCTCCTGAGGACAAGAGGGACATGGGCATACTGGAGTGGCTCCTGCAAAGTGTCATAGATATGGTTAATGGACTGGAGCATCTGTACTAGGAGGACAATGTGAGAGAGTCCGGAGGAGAGAAAGCTCAGGGGTGTTTCAATGCCCATATCCATGTGTATAAATACCCAATGGAAGGGGATTGAATAAGGCAGGGACAGACTCCTCCGTGGTACCCAGTGACAGGACAAGAGGTACAAACTGAAGTACAAGAAATTCCATTTAAAGATCAGAAAAAGCTTTTAAATATGAAGGTGGTCGAACAGCAGAAGAGGTTGCCCAGAGGGGCTTTGGTGCCTCCATTACTGGATATATCCAAAATCCACATGGACACAGTCCTGGAAGACAGCCTGCAGTTGACCCTGCCTGAGCAAGGCATTTGGACTGGATTTCCAGAGGTGCCTTCCAACCTCAATGATTCTGTTATTCTAAGAAAAATAACCTCTTCCAAATCTAATTCAAAATGTGAGTCCTTAATATTTAGGAGATTTGAGCCCAGATGTTTCCAGTTCTGAAAAATTAAGAAAATGTATCATGGTTAAATCAGAGCTCAGAAATTTCTATTTTTTTCAGTGAAAAGAAGGAAGAACCAGAAACCCCCAAACCTTAAAATCTTCATTCTGCAGTGCTGAAACATTTTTGATATTTTCAAAGTAAAAAGTTTTGATTCTGTCAAAATGAAATATTTCAGTCTTTTTCATCCTGACCTGGAAGCTGGCTTTTAGGCATTTTCACTCCTTTTTTTTCCCCACTGTATCTTGGCACAGAAGAGGAAATGGAAGAAGGATTGGACTCACAGGACTATAAACAGAGACTCTGAAAATGCTGCTCTAGTAGTAGAGAAGCACTGATGGACAGTTTGACAGAGAAAGGAGTGACTTAGGTAGTCATCTGGAAAGTGTTCCCCAACCTGCTCTGAAGAACAAAAGATGGAGGTCTTAATAATGCACACATTTAACTTGGAGGTTACAGCCTGAGGGATTGAATTATTGAACTCACACCACAGAGAAGGAGTGTAAGTATCATTTGTACTTATGTTCCTCATAAACTAGCAAAAGGAATAGTTGCTGCATTGACTGTTGCCTCCAACTAACATGCTCATGATCAGCACTGAAAAGGACTTTTCCATTCCTATTGCTCATCCATGAAGTTTTTAGTCTTGCACATGTAGAGTACTCTTGACAGACAGTGTAATGTTATTCTTACTAATAACACTGCTGGTAGATTATCTCTCATTGTTTCTGTGGGCTCTCTGAGAGGTACCATCAGCTGTCTGACTCTGGGTTTACACCCTCTGGGGTCATGGCATCTAATAAGCACATTTAAAATTTGTCCGAGACCCGAACGATATTTGAGTGCCCTGCAATGCTGGAGAGTCCTTGCCAAAGGCTATTAGCCGAAGGAAATATACAGATGCAAAAGCAAACAAGCAAGAATTTCTTGTCAGAAGGTTTCTCTTACCCAGTTACAAATACTATTAATATCAGTGAATAAGCACATAGGATAATAATTGATGGAAATGGCACATAATGGACATACAATGACATATAATGGACAATGCAATAAATCCAAAAGCAAGAGCACAGAAGTCACCATGCTGTCCCACTTCATGTGGTTGCAGGGTATGATGAAAAATAAGCTACATTACAAATCCTGACCTTTATGTCAATAAGCTTAGCTACTAATGCCTTTGTGAATGATGTGAGAGAAGCAAAGTAAACAACTTCTTGATTGGGGGAAGAGGTTTGGTTCTAGAGAGCTCATCTTCAGATCACTATCTTCAGTCTGAAAGTACTGAATATTCCAATGTGTTTATTCAAGCAGAAGCCATATCTGCTTCACTTCACATAAAATATTTAAAAACTCAAGAGAACATGAGCTGAAACCCACTTCCTTTGGGGACTGTTGTAACCATTAGGTTATCATGTTTTTTTCATTTACTCTGTTCTTAAAAGTATTGAGCCATTCTGTGCAAAGCGGATACACATCTGGAACAGGACACACTAAGATGAACCCCTTAGAATATTTTCTGCTCTAATTATTTTAAATACTGCCTTTTGAGTTAGGACACTTGGGTACAAATCTCTGCAAAAAAATCAGATAGCTTACACTGCAGGTGCATGTTCTAGCAATGGGCTATTGACCACGAAGTCAGGCAACATCTTCTGCTGCCTGACTTCCCATGCAGACCAAACATGAGACTGGGTCCTGACATCAAAACAGACAAAGAATCATTCAGTTAATCAACTCTGCTGCAGCTGAGGCTCAGAAGGCTTGATGGCATCAGGGCATGGCCAGTTTTGTTCAAATAATTTCGATATAAGGAGAAGGGGGATTTTCACAGACATATAGATACCTCTGACTCCCCGTGATGGAGAACTTGCTTTATGGAATTAAGTTGCTAGAAATGGCAGTAATGTACTGCATGCCCTTGTCTACATTTATGAACAGGACCAAGTCATGGACTAGGCTAATGGCAAGTGACTCCATCTATACTGCTGAGGGAATGGCCCATTTTATTTGCTAGTGCTGGTTCAGCCTAGGCAGATCAAGGCCCTTGACATTTATCAGTCAATAAAGGTGTCATTACTAGCTTGGTCTAATGACATTATCACACTACACACTCATCTTCTCCCTTCCATATTTAGAGCACCTGGCAAGCGAATACTCAACATTTGACAGCAAGGTCTTGGAAGGATTTAAAGAAAGAGAGATGGTGACTGATACCCAAAATTTGTTTGAGAAGATAATAGGCTTTTGGAGAAAGGAACATTTTCATCTGAGTGACAACAGAGATTAGGATGAGTTTCAGATCAAACTTATAATACCCGGTCCCACTTAAAATTGAATACAGAGTCCTACCCACTTGAAACATACTTTACTTGGAAACGATGCACCAAGCTTTGGAAGTGCAATAAACAGAGACAGAGACTGATTTTTTGCTTTAGTTTACGTGAGAATCTGTTTATCAATTCAAGGAGGTTTAATCACGTCATAACCTGCAGTTTATTGTACCATCGTTCCCTGCAAGTGAATCACTCTCACAGGTAGGTACTATTCACTGAGTAAATACAGTGTGCCTCCCTATAACACAATTGCTTTGAGGCATGATTTATTTGGTTTGTTTCATATTCTAATATAATATTTGAAAATTACTGTAAGTGACTACTACATTGTTTTGGGTATCATGCGAGATCATAGAATTACAGCATAGTTTAGGTTGGAAGGGACCTTAAAGATCATCGAGTTCCAGCCACCCTGCCCTGGGCAGGGACACCTCCCACCAGACCAGGTTGCTCAAAGCCCCATCCAGCCTGGCCTTGAACCCCTCCAGGGATGGGGCAGATCAACTTTGAATTACGAAAAGCAAGGTTGGAACTTTTTTTCCAGCTGCATACTTGGTTTATTTAATAGGATCCCACAGGAGCATAATATCAACTTTGAATTATGAAAAGCAAGGTTGGAACTTTTTTCCAAGCTGCATACTGGATTTATTTAATAGGATCCCACAGGAGCATAATTTCTGCTGAATTCAGGCTTCTTGAGTTAGTTCAGATTCACACTTTGTTCATAGTCCAGAAATTTCATTTATCACCTTGTTGAAGAGAAAGTGCGACTGCAATTGAAAATGATGATCTTGGCCATTGTCAAGGATTTCAGAAGTTAACTGTCTTTTGCCATCATTTTCTCTTTGTTGAAGAGAAAGTGTGACTGCAATTGAAAATGATATTGGCCATTGTCAAGGATTTCACAAGTTAACTGTCTTTTGCCATCATTTTCTCTTTGAAATCTCACTGACTTAATTCAGTTACCACAGCAATATTATGACAAACTATGAATATGCAACCATTCAGCAATTCAAAATCGAGCTGTGTACACACCTAAGAATTACCTGAAATATTGCAGACATCTTCAACAACATTCCAGACACTCTCACATCCATTTGCAGCATTTATACATTGCTCCTTCAAGTGCAGACAGTCAGGAGTCTGGGCAGGAGATATACTTGTGAAGCACATGAACAACACTGTAAAACAGAATATAATGACTATTTAATACAATATATATTGTACTAACATTTTTCATTTACACTTAGATTATGAAACTATGATTTACTGTAGTTTATCTATAGAGTCAATTTTTTCTACCAAGTTACTTTTTAACAGAATAAAATTTTTTTCAGTTTCATAACTGGAAAATTAAATTTAAATTTTAAATCTTCAAAGTTGCAGTGTATTTTGTATTGTTTTTACCTCAGTATTATAACATCAACCATAGCGATATATGACATCAGTCCATAGATAGATAGAAATGACTGCAGTTCTGAGACCCGTAATAATAATAGAAAGGAAGATAGTACAAAATTCAAAGGAAACAGCATTTTATTTGAACTGCAATTTCATCAAGTTAAAGACTACATAGGAATTCCTATGAATAGACCACATGAAAGAGATTTGACAATTACGCAACTGTTAGATAATAAATGAGATTTTATTTCATAGTACAGTACTCTTCATCCTCTTTGTTTTTATTTCACAGACACATCATTTCTTGAAAGCAACCCCCACGATTATGTCTTTATCTCCTTCCCTGAGTGCACTGAACCTAAAGGCCATGTTAATTGCATAAAAAAGTTCTGAAACTGAAGATTGATACAGAGATTTCAAGGTAAAGAATTTTAAATCAGCACCACCTCTGGTTTATGAGTAGAAAATTAAATTGCGTCACCTTGCTAAGAAAAGACAAATCAGTTGGGGTTTAGCTCTTTCATCAACATTCCCATGGTAACACAACATCTAAATTGTAACCATGTGTCTTAATTTTCTATAAAATTAAGCTTCAGACACTGATTTTGGGCCTTATCAGACTAGCTGCTGAACACCTGATGGGAGTATTTTACTTCGGTAGTGAAGGACACAGCATCTCCCTGATGAGGTTTACTTTTATTTCCTTATGTCAGGCAAGTTCGTATGGAATTTGAGGAATTTCCAACACTGTTTAATTCCTTAAATATCTTCTACAAGAGGCATGAAATATTCTCTCAGGACTTGTCCAGACCCTATCCAGAGAAATTAAATGTTTCCAATGATACATTTGTGAAATAAGAAATTAATTATCAAATACTGCTCTTAACAATCTTAGAGAGCCAGTACTGTTTAGAGGTGATGCCCTCCTTTCTGGAAATGATGCCTACCTGTGTTATAATAGTGCTATTGTAGGGAACACTTTCTGGTCCCATGTTGATAAAGATGAAGCAACATTTAATATTTTATAACTGACAAGTGCAATAGCATCTATTGTGCCTAAGAGACGCAGAAGCAGCCACTCATGCTTACTATAGCTGGTGCTAATTCTTACCCAATTCTGCATATTCCTTCATAATAAGCTACGTGTTGATCAGCCTGGAAGACCGATTCACACAAGCAGCTCCTGCCACTTGACATTGAGGAAATGTGCAGCTGGCCCATCCATAAGGACAATTTTAGCTCATCATGACAACATTTTAGTCCTGGGACTATCTCCAAAATTCTTTCAAATTGGGACATCACTCACTATTTACTTGGGTGACAGAGAGAAGAAAAAAGTTGCCAAATATCTCACAGGTGAAAAAAAAAAAACTAAATATAAGGCAATAAGAAATTACAATCCCAGGAACTTTTTAAGAAAAGGTATTTTGCTGGGTAACCATTTACTTATTTTGTAGGTAAGATTTACAATGGAAGATTTACACGTCTGATTAGCATCTGCAGCACCAAGATTGTGTGCTGTCTCCCTCCAGTTAAGACAGCTTTTGAGAAGCAGTGGCTGAAAATGAATAGTCAAAGTAGGACTGATTAAGCAGCCAATTAGTAGCTCCTGCTCCTCTGTAAGGATTATTTCAGAGTGTGTTTATTTTGAACCCACTTGGAAACTGTGCCCACAAAAAGGAGGAGATGCTTTTGCAAAATAAAGAGCAAAGTGGCATAATTTATGATTTAAGTTAATTCAGTCTAAGAAAGGGCTTCTTTAGATCTAACGGTGTATTGTGGATGGGTCTTTTGTTTCCTCAGCAATACACAGGACTGTTGCAAACATACATGAAACAAACTGGCCTATATGATTTTAGAATCCAGTGCACTGCAGCTTATACAGTTGCTTAAATTAACAGTTATTATCTTAGTCATTCACTTTAATTATTTGGTGTTTGGAGTATTAAGTGACTGTTTTCTACTCCTAGTTCAGGAGATCTAGGAGCTAGTCTGTAGCTAAAACTTTTAGACGGATCCATTTTGACGCGAAGACACATAAATTTAGGTTTCTACAGGTATCAGTATTTTTGAACAGGTGTCTACGGATTCACTAGGTAGATGTAAAATTTCCTGTTCTGAAGAATTTGGTGTCTAAAGTGGAAAGGGAAGAAAAAATTATGAAATAATATCTCATAAATTATACCACCCTCATTTTTCAGACTGGGAGCTGAGGAATTTAGGAATTAGTATCTTTCCCAAGACTGCAGAATTGTTATCTGGCAGATAATAATTAATAATGGGAAACAAATCTGTGGTTTCTATCCAACAGCAAGAGCAGCAAGATAGCTAGCTCCAAAGGAGAAAGGCAAATTATAGCGGAATATAGTTTGAAAATAGTTGCAAAGTTATAAATGACAACTTCATTCTAACACAACCTGGGGCAGAACTACCTACAGAATGTTTAAAGCAGTGGAATATAAGTTAGAGTAGTGGGGTGTTAAGGAGAGAAGCAGCACATATACAATATGTATATTGTATCCGCCTGGATACAATACACAATCCACCTGGATGCTCCTGAGTAACATGCTCTAGCTCTAGGCAATCCTGCTTCAGCAGGGGAGTTGGACTAGGTGATCTCTATGGTCCCTTCCAACTCTAAAAATTCAGTGAAATTCAGTGAAATATGTAGAGAGGGGAAAAGGAGAATAAAAGAAGTTATAGCATACTTGTCTCATTGTATTCTTTTCTACCAAATCCTTCTGTACTAGCATTGTTGATTTTCCCCTTTTTCTCCCTTCAAACCCAAAGGGAAATGTCCATAGCCTTGTGTGCAGCACTGCCAGCACCAAATGCTTTCCACTTAGCAAACAAGTGGCTGTTTATTCCGACAAGGCATCCCATTTGTGGGGCTCGTCACCCCCTCAACTTCTTAGCGCCGCCGGCGCTGCCGTCCCTGCTGCCCTGCCTTACCTCCCACTTCAGACACGCTACCCCCAGCCAGCATGAAGAAGGGCCTGGAGGTCGCACACCAGTGCAAACCCTCAACAGGTACATTCCTACCCCTTGCGAGGGGGGAGGAATGAGTGAGGCTTCCCCGGGGAGAAAGAGCAAAGGACGGAGCTGCAAGCGGAACCCGCCGAGAGGAGAAGAGACGAGAGGCCGGGGGGATGAAGGGAAGGTGCTGGCGAGGCTGGGGGGCTGCCTCCCACCCCGTCTCCCCACCCCACTTACCGAGGCGGAGGAGCGGGGCCATGGCCGGCCGCCGGCGGCTGCAGCGGGGCTGGCGGCGGGCGGCAGGTGCCGGTGCGGCACCGCCCCTTCAGCACCGCCGGCGCGGACAGCGCCCCGCCCGCACGGCCCATGGCCCTGCCGCCTCCTCCCTGCACACCTCCTTCGGATGGGCAGGGCATGAAGCCCTCCATCCCACCTCCACCCCCCTTCCTTCCCCCCCTCCATCCCCAACTCCATCCCCAACTCTATCCCCCTGAGCTTCCTCTGTAGCTGCCGGTGCTACATCCTTGAGGTGCTACACTCACATCTCTCTTTTCACCATACCTGCTAGGCTGGACCGCGTCTAGATGTGACAGTGGTTCTTCGGCATTTTTGATGGGATCCAGTGCTCCCTCTGCATTCAGTTTCTTCTTGATTTCCAGAGAAACCAAGTCTTTGAAGAGCAAGTCTTTGCCTGCTGCCTAGAGTCTCTCTGGAAAATGCCTGTTGCTATGTCTGATCACCTTCTGTAAGCACTGTCAATACATTTTCGAAGTGGATGTGTTTGTTTTCTTCTCAGACGTGAAATAGGATGATGATCTGTCCCCTTCCCATGGCCATACCATGTCTTCTCTGCCCACCTCCTTTGGTCAGGGGCAGTGCATGAAACCCCCCATCTCCCCCCTCCATCCCCCTGAGCTTCCTCTGTAGCTGCTGGTGCTACACCCTTTGCTCCCGTCTCTCTTTTCACCATACCTGCTAGGCTGGACCGCGTCTGGATGTGACAGTGGTTCTTCAGCTTTTTTGATGGGATCCAGTGCTCCCTCTGCATTCAGTTACTGCTTGATTTCCAGAGAAAGCAAGTCTTTGAAGAACAAGTTTTTGGCCTATAGCCTCTCTGGAAAATGCCTGTTGCTATGTCTGATCACCTTCTGTAAGCGCTTTCAATACATTTTCGAAGGGGAATTTGTTTGTTTTCATCTCAGATGTGAAATAGAATGGTGATCTGTCCCCTTCCCATAGCCATACTGCATCTTCTCTGCCCACCTCCTTTGGTCAGGGGCAGTGCATGAAACCCCTTCATCCCCCTGAGCTTCCTCTGTAGCTGCCGGTGCTACATCCTTGAGGTGCTACACTCACATCTCTCTTTTCACCATACCTGCTAGGCTGGACCGCGTCTAGATGTGACAGTGGTTCTTCGACATTTTTCATGGGGTCCAGTGCTCCCTCTGCATTCATTTCCCGCTTGATTTCCAGAGAAACCAAGTCTTTGAAGAACAAGTTTTTGGCTGCTGCCTACAGCCTCTCTGGAAAATGCCTGTTGCTATGTCTGATCACCTTCTGTAAGCGCTTTCAATACTTTTTTGAAGGGAATGTGTTTGTTTTCATCTCAGAAGTGAAATAGGATGGTGATCTGTCCCCTTCCCATGGCCATACCGTGTCTTCTCTGCCCACCTCCTTTGGTCAGGGGCAGTGCATGAAGCCCCCCATCCCTTCCCTCCATCCCCCCGAGCTTCCTCTGTAGCTGCTGGTGCTACACCCTTTGCTCCCGTCTCTCTTTTCACCATACCTGCTAGGCTGGACTGCATCTAGATGTGACAGTGGTTCTTCAGCATTTTTGATGGGATCCGGTGCTCCCTCTGCATTCGGTTCCACTTGATTTCCAGAGAAACCAAGTCATTGAAGAGCAAGTTTTTGTTTGCTGCCTAGAGTCTCTCTGGAAAATGCCTGTTGCTATGTCTGATCACCTTCTGTAAGTGCTTTCAATACGTTTTCGAAGGGAATTTGTTTGTTTTTATCTCAGAAGTGAAATAGAATGGTGATCTGTCCCCTTCCCATAGCCATACTGCATCTTCTCTGCCCACCTCCTTCAGTCAGGGGTTGTGCATGAAGCCCTTCATCCCCCCGTCTATCCCCCTGAGCTTCCTCTGTAGCTGCCGGTGCTACACCCTTTGCTCACATCTCTCTTTTCACCATACCTGCTAGGCTGGACCGCGTCTGGATGTGACAGTGGTTCTTCGACATTTTTCATGGGATCCAGTGCTCCCTCTGCATTCAGTTCCCACTTGATTTCCACAGAAACCAAGTCTTTGAAGAACAAGTTTTTGGCCTATAGCCTCTCTGGAAAATGCCTGCTGCTATGTCTGATCACCTTCTGTAAGTTTTCAATACATTTTCGAAGGGAATGTGTTTGTTTTCATCTCAGATGTGAAATAGGATGGTGATCTGTCCCCTTCCCATGGCCATACCGTGTCTTCTCTGCCCACCTCCTTTGGTCAGGGGCAGTGCATGAAACCCCCCATCTCCCCCTCTGTCTCCCTGAGCTTCCTCTGTAGCTGCCGGTGCTACACCCGTGAGGTGCTACACTCACATCTCTCTTTTCACCATACCTGCTAGGCTGGACCGCATCTAGATGTGACAGTGGTTCTTCAGCATTTTTGATGGGATCCGGTGCTCCCTCTGCATTCAGTTCCCGCTTGATTTCCAGAGAAACCAAGTCTTTGAAGAGCAAGTCTTTGTTTGCTGGCTAGAGTCTCTCTAGAAAATGCCTGTTGCTATGTCTGATCACCTTCTGTAAGCTTTCAATACATTTCCGAAGTGAATGTGTTTGTTTTCATCTCAGACGTGAAATAGGATAGTGATCTGTCCCCTTCCCATGTCAATATGACATCTTTTCTGCCCACCTCCTTTGGTCAGGGGCAGTGCATGAAACCCCCCATCTCCCCCTCCATCTCCCTGAGCTTCCTCTGTAGCTGCCGGTGCTACACCCTTGAGGTGCTACACTCACATCTCTATTTTCACCATACCTGCTAGACTGGACCGCATCTAGATGTGACAGTGGTTCTTCAGCATTTTTCATGGGATCCAGTGCTCCCTCTGCATTCAGTTACTGCTTGATATCCAGAGAAACCAAGTCTTTGAAGAGCAAGTTTTTGTTTGCTGCCTATAGTCTCTCTGGAAAATGCCTGTTGCTATGTCTGATCACCTTCTGTAAGCACTTTCGATACATTTTCGAAGTGAATTTATTTGTTTTCATCTCAGAAGTGAAATAGGATAGTGATCTGTTAAGGAGAGAGAGGAGCTATGGAGCCCATTAGACAGCAGACCAGAGGAACAACTTGTCTGTAATCTAGACTCATTCTGGACTATGGTCTAACTTTAGGAGTTTCACTAAAGTACATGAAAAAACAATTTGTCAAGCTGACTTGGGTATTTAAAAAAAAAATAAATCAACCATAAAGCATACATTTATACACTTTCTGGCTTCACTGGACACACTTTGCTTTTGCACTGGAAGGAGGAGGAAACAACAGATATCTACTGATTTCTCCATGCCACCTGTGACTCTTGTTTTCACAAATCACTTACCCCATACAGAACGTTTTTCATTGGTTTTGGTCCTTGAATGCTTAAAAAAATAAATAAATAAAGATATCAAACTTACAGCTAGCAGAGATAGAGATATAGTGGGTGAAATCCTGTTTCTTACTGGCAAAGCAAAACTTGAGCCAAGTCCAGATTTTGCTTATTGTTTACAGGAAAATTCAATCTTGAACATAATTTTTTTTCTTTAACTTGTTTTTAACTTAGTTAATTTATGATGTTCTTTATTTAAACTCTTAATTCCAACATTGCTAAATATGTGTCTTCCTTTGTTTTTTGGGAAGTGTACTCAGTAAAATAAAATACTATTTCATCCAATGTAACCAACAGTCAGAAAAAAGCCTTATTGTCAGGTAAAAGGAATAGCCTGAGAAATGAATATAGTTTTAGTGGTGAGACAAATTTTAAGTTGGAAGGCTATATTTGCCTTGTAACATGCAGCAGTAGGTTGCAATGCATCTTAGAGCAGGGGCTGAGTTAAGCTAACGTATAGTGTACTCTCCTTCCTTTAAAGCCCTCTCCAGGTTAATGACATGCATCAATTGTGCTAGTATCAGAGAACAAGATGGTGCTCTCTATGCAGTCTAGAAGAAAAGGAAAAAAAAAATTAAAAAAGCCTTTTTGAAGGTGGAGAGGGTAGAAGTTATCTTGTTGTGACTGCAGGGCACAAGCTTATCACTATAGCTCTAACAGGAAAGGAGAAAAAGGTCAGGATATGAGACTGTGAAATTTGTTGAGAGACAAAGTACCAGAATGATGGTGTCACAACAACTTATATCTGCAGGAACAAATATGTTGTGATTTAAATTCTATGTCTAATGGCGTTATGACCAAGCAGAAATAATGGCATGGGAACTCCATTTCTATGCTCCGGAGTTTTCCGGTGGAATTCCTCTGGAATACCAAAGCAGCTAGAGGTAACAAAACCCAATTAAAGCTCAGCTTTCAGATTATTTTCAGTATTTATAGACTGGATAAGAAATGCTCATTTCTCTTTTGACCTTTTTTGGTGGATAAGAATCCCTAAAGTTACTTTAAGATGTTTAAATTTCTGGCACATGCTAAAAGCATTAAATTCCATACTACCCTTAAAATCTTACCCTGTCTTCATGGCTATTTCTATCTCCATTAACAGACACTGCTCACTATTGGGTTTATCTTTACTGAAAACTCCCAGTGATTATTTTCATTCAAAAATAAATCCAGCTGAATAATACTTTCAACGTATCCAAACATCTGGATCTTTCTGGAGGAAAAGGCCCTAGGACTGACAAAAAACTCGCCACTACTTTATACAGGCAATCAACTGATTTTTAAATACCTACGAAGTTTTTCTGATTAAATGGTCCCTGAAAACATATCTGAGAAGAAAATGTCTAGGTATTTCTCAAATTCTGTAAAACTAAAAATAAATACATATGAATATTTGCATCAATTTTTTTTCTTCAAAAAAACCAAATTTTTGAATGAAAAATCTTTTAATCAAAATAACCAAATCTTTTGATTTATAACCATATCTAATCAACTTGTATCTTGATTACCACATTCTCTGACAAAAATTAGTTAACGCTTTCTACCTATCTTTAGAATTTCCAATCTTCAATCAGCTCTGATTTTGTCACTTGTGTCTGCAAGATATGCTATTTACTCAACAAAAATCTGGCCAGAG